TTTTTTTTTTTTTTTTAATCTTTGTGTTGTAAAATATAAGAAAATAGAAGAAACAAAAACTATAGAAAATTGAAAGAGCAACACCAAAAGAGGGAAAAGAACTCATAATTTCTTCATCTTATTTCACATAAAGTGTAACTATTTATACATAATGGAATTGTGACTCTCAAATTGAAGTCTACAATACAATAATACAAAGATTTTTGTTGAAATGTTGGAGGCATAATTTTGCCAATAAGTCTTAATGAATTATTAATCATCTATAATATGAACGAGAGATAATGGGAGATGATGGTTTTTTGTCGAAGAATAAATGCCCATAATGCATTTTTCAATGAAAATCATCTGTTAGTCATCTTTTGTACAAGTAGAAATGTAACAATCGTATGATTGCTTCTACTAGTGGACAAAAAGGTGTAATAGCCAATATACATAACACTCTTCCTTAGATGTTCACCAATTTATTACATGTCTTGTTAAATTGCATCGTTAAACACCCACCTAGGAAAAATTTAGGGGAAAAAAACTACTTGGTAAAGGGAAAAGAGTGCAGTGCGTATAATACTTCCCCTAAATTCAATATTTATTCATAATTAGTCGAATTGTGCCAATCTTGTGTCTTAAGTACTCAAAAGTTTTAATAGCCAATGATTTTGTAAAAAGAATTTGTTGGCTTCTTACTTGAATAAATTAGATAGATATTATTTCACTTCTCTTTAAGAGTTTATATGTTAAAAAAACTTTCATGAGATATGCATTGGTTTTATCTCACTTAACATAACCATCCATTACTTATGTAATGCTTATAGCCTCACTTTGCATGGTATAGCTCACATTCTTATTGTACATGTTAGATTTATGTCACAAACATTTTCTTAGAAAACAAATATATTTCTAAATTGTTTGTGGATATTATAATATTAATATATGTGTATAAATACTATATTTTTTATCACCTTTTATGTGGATACAATTAATATCTAGAATATGTATATTCAATTAACTTAAATTTTGTGTGATTTGGATATAATAATCATAAAACATTTGTTCCCTGAAGTTGGAGGTTAAAAAAAAAAAAAGTGTTTAATTCTATCATAGTTACTTTAAGTCAAAATTTCGCCATTGAATTTTTAGAAAATGCTGTAGTGTAGCATATATACTATTAGCGAGGTATATAAATGTATCAAGTGCTATCATATATGGTATTTTAGGACAAAAAATATATTTTCAAGGACAAAAAAATGTCATTCTATATGACATTGGTGATATAGCCTTATGTCAAGATATATATATATATATATATATATATATCTATTTACATACAAGTTTTGCATACCACACTTACATAAAATCTCAACCATTCATATCTCATTTTCAATGGTTAAGATTTATTCACATTTATTTAATATAATTATTTTTTTATCTAAAAATTCATAACAAATCTCAATCATCAATCATTTAAAGTGGAGAAATGAATTGTTGAGATTTTGTGTAAATGTAATGTGCAAAATTTGTGAGTAAGTAGATCCTTACTTGTGTGTGTGTGTGTGTGTGTGTGTGTGTGAAAGGACCAAATCACCATTATTCAGTTCAAACCATGAGCTTCATCAATGTTGAAACACTCAAAAATCTTTTACTCATCATTTAATTGATAACAAAAATCAAACTTGATAATTGTTCTACAAGCCAAGTCAAAATTTTATTATTTTGAGGTTTTGAGATTAGAGCATGCTATTGTTTATCCAAACTCTTCAAGAGTTCTAATGATAATTAAATTATATACATATTATGTAATAATAACAAAATCTCTTAATAAAAATACATGGAGCAATGTGGGATACCCTTCTTTTAAAAGGTGCTCATTAAAATGATTATAAATATTTATTCTTTTATATCAATCAATATAAAAATATCACTCTTAGTTTGAGCTATATGCTTCAAACATTTGGAGTTTCATCTTATACTTCAAGTATGAGCTTTAGGATTATTAATCCAAATATACTCTTAAAGTAATATTTTATATTGCTTATAGGACTATTTTATTTTATATTGCTTAAAGGACTATTTGTTCACCTTCATAAGCATATATTAATGTCATAATATATCAAAATATTTTAAATAATTGATTATAGGCTTATATAGCTTTTTGAATCCAATATGACAATAAAGGAAATTATATTCAATCTTATTTGTGGAATACTTCTAAATCATAATCCCATTGGAATGCAAGACATGAAAAATCACTTAATTCTATCCAAGTCAATTAGGCCTAAAAATAAAAACTTCTTAGGATCAACCACTTATGGTTAATCTCAAAGCTTGATCCTCTTACATTTATATATGTATATATTAATTCAAAAGAGAAAACTAACATTTTCAAATATATGTCTTTTAGTCACATATAAGAGATGTAACATGGGAATATTTTGTACCATTCTCATTCATGATTTAATATGATAACTATCATATGTTTGTACCTTTACATTTTAGTAGATTTCAATATATTCTACTAGAACAC